ATAAATAAATTGCTCATAGTTTTCATTAATTGATAAAGCAAAATAAAAAAAAAAAACTTTATGTGCGATAACTATATGTTGGTAAATTATAGGGAAAGCATATACAAAAAAGTATTTTTTCTGCTTATTTCTTAAGCAATAGTTATTAACTGGAGCAAATCCAAAGATCGATTTGAATGATGAGGAAAGTTGACATTCGAATGAACTATCATTCAAAATTTCAACGAAAGTACTAAATATTAAATTTTCAGAAAAATCAAACTCTCAAAAACTAACCAGAAGAGATTTAATTAAAAACATTTTCTGTTGATCGATTCATTCGCAAAAAATACAAGGTGTTCTAAAAGTTTCTTCGCAAAAATAATTTCTTATAAATCTAATACTTGTTGAACTTTGTCGACTAATATTTTGTATGATTGATGACATTGCCGAATTTTTTTCCTAGGAATTAACTTTGACAATAATTTTCAAAATTTTTATGTTTGACTAAAATACAATAATATAGTTTTGTTTTCTTTCTTCCGCAAAATATGTAAATTCAAAAGTCACATCTGTAAGTAGACACAATTCAAGAGAAAGGAAAATGAGATAGCAGTAAAGAAAATATTCACTAGCAGGTAAGATGAATGATTAATGAGGCAATCAAATAAGAATGAACCTTCTAATATCTCTTATTTCTGATGAGAATAACAGCATGATCTAAGTGAATCGATTGTTATTGAGTTTGATTGTCACATATGAACAAAATTCATCGACTGAAGTGAGGCATGGATCTAAATGTGCTTGTATGGGTTAAGAGGAGACCACCTCCTATACCTAAGAATTTTGGCATCTTCACAGTGACACTCCAACAAATAACTTATATATACAGAAAAACCTAATGTTTTCTGAGCTTTACGATTCCACAGAACGAAAAAGAAAGATAGACTCAATGGGTGTGGGTGTTTTCCTTTCATCAACATCCACACCCACTAGAGATCAGCGGAGTCAAACTTTTTAGCCCCGAAACTCGAAAATATTTTATATTTCTCCACGATCCTGACCCCAATCCCGACCTCAACCCCGAAAATCCTCAAATTTTTTTTTCGGAGATAAGTGACATCTAATATACAGAGTATTATGTTGGCGAAGAAATATACACAAGTTTTAATTGGTATTCAGTCTAAGACAATAAATCGAGAAAAAAAATGATATCCTATTAACTCTGCTTCCTGCGTTTGTATGTAAAGTGAAAAGATGAGTTTCAGGTTGTTAACACGAAAAGAACTAGAAGAGCTCGTAAAGAATCGAGATAATTCTGTTAAATATGTTCAAAGGAAACAAAGTGCTCATTCATCTGACCTCTGGAATCATTTACATCAAGTTTTCATTAATGAAATACAACAGAATAAATATGTAATAGGCGTCATTAGGCCTATTGTTGGGAAAATTTTTAGACAGAAATTTCTTGTTGAGATTTTTCTCATAATGCTCCGTATTTGGCTAAAAATTCATTAAAATGACCATAATTAGAGTAAAAAGATATAATCGGACGAACCCTTTTGGAGGTTTATCGACAGTGGGTGGGTGTGGGTGTGTGAGTGTGGGCGTGTGGAAAGTGGGTGTGCGGGTGTGAAGGTGTGGGTGTCGGTGTTCTCTTCTCGCACACCCACACTCATACTCACACCCGCATCCGCACCCACATGCACACCCACACTCAAGCCCACACCCACCCACACTCCCATACCACACCCGCACCCACACCGCCATACCACACCCGCACCCCACACCCACACTCCACACCCATACCTCACACCCACACCCACACCCCACACCCTTATTTTGATTTATTTTAATTAAAACAAGACCATCTGATGACCCTCGTTGCTTAGGTGCAATGTTAACATTATGGTTGCTCTACTCACCACTGCAAATTTATTCTAACATTACTTTTATAGTAACAGTTTTAGAATTAGCTTTGTTTTGATTTATTTTAATTAAAACAAGACCATCTGATGATCCTCGTTGCTGAGGTGCAATATTAACATTATGGTTGCTCCATTCACACCCCTCATATCCTCACCCTCACCCTCAAAGGATTAAGGGCTTGTGTGGCAGATATATCTCGTCGAGCTCTAACGAACAGCGCGTCTCTTTGACCTTGACTGCCGGCTTTTGCTGTAGAAATCCAAATTTTTATAAAATATGTTTGGACGCATATATGCGTCGCCGGGAACCAAATGGTTAGATAATTGTTATCGTTTCAACAATTGAAGACAATTCTAATGATAGACGAATATTGTCACAAAATGCAATAGGATGAGTTTTATTGAATGTTGCTGAATCATTTCGATGGGATTGTTGATTATAGAAGTCCAGTTGAAATAAAACATATGCAGCATTTTTATTATATGGACGGTGTCTTACCAAAAAAATTCGGTCAGGTAACACATCTGTGAAAAAGAGATTAGGTCCTTTAAATGAAACAATTGAAAATAGTAACACTCACTAAACAGGTAGTTGTTCAATGTTTCATTTCGAATGTTCAGTTCTCTCAGATTTACATTTACGTCCACTTGATTTTCCAATGTACCACAGAAAATTGATAAAAACCACGAGTAAGAGGTGGCAGCCGCATAATCACGATATCGTTCGGGAATAGGAACAAATTGAGATAGGGATGCGTGATTGTGATGCCCATTGACAATAAATGAGCATTGTTCCACGTTCCAAAACTGATTACGCAGAATATTGATATAGTCTTCACCAACTCCAGAGTTCTGAAATACTCAGAATATAAACTGACGAACATATGCATACGTAATTTAAGTGAATTAGAAATATTTTTATATACAAATTGTAGTTTGATGTCAAAAAGCTTTCAGCATAATAAGAGTAATTCACCTTTTAAAGAAATTTACCTTAAACATTTGGATCCAAATATTAGCTGCATGTTCGGCTACTGAACTTTCGATCATCGTTGTACCAATACTATTGTAAGGAATCGTATTCCAACCACCATGATGAATAGGCTTTATGAGATTAATCGAACAATTTCTCTCTTGCTCAGCATTTCCATTTACTAGCAACATTGGATTAGATCCAAGTGTATTGTTAGGCAAGATGGCACCCAAAATCGAATATGCATTTTGTAAATTTTCATCAGTAATATTTGATCCACGCAGATCAGCAGCGGAAAAATCAACATCTGACATTAATGTGTGCGCGAAATTAACATTTTTCAAGTCGGCTTCATGAAATGAGACATCGTGCAGATTTGATAATTGTAAATTAGCTCCTTGTAATACACTGCCCGTAAAATTCGCTTTTATAAGGTATCGAGAAAAAAATGAGGCGTTGATTAGAGAGACTTCTGTCAGGTATATACCTTCAAAAGTGGACCTTTGCTTGTTATAAAGCATAGATGTACCTAAATCTATATTATTTAAATCTGCGCCACTCAAATCGATAGAATTACGCGGATAAGTGATTGCTTTGAGGTCGTAAAGGAACTGAATTAAATAGGTCTTTCGTATGGCATCCAGTTGTCGGCAAGCACTCAAAGTCTTGGCACGAAGTATAGAAGCCATCAGAGGATCAATGTTCACAAAAGAGAAATTTGATGTACTAATAATCATCGATATATCATTAACATAGGCAGCAAAAACAGCATCCCATTGAAGTGTATTAGCAATAAGCAAGTCCTGCTCACGTGTATACTTGGCAATAGTCAAACTACTTAATCGGTTAGCCTCAGCAATAGCCAAGTCTTGTTGACGCTGTTGGCTTGCAATATGAAGTTGAACGATTGCGATAGCTATAGTGAGTAAACCAATCATACCCGGAATAAAAATCGAAGCACAGACATCACGTACATTTCGAGTTGTTGTAATTGATTTGGAGAGCTGATCTTTATATTCTGTTGTTGTGGGAACCATATTGCTGGTAGATAATATCTCTGGAATAAGTTGACTATATCTTTATGGAAAATATAATAATGACTTTTTGGATGTAATCATTCGCGACGTGTCTATTCTATGTAATAGTATCCCTCCGAATATATATACCTCAACACACGTCTCTCATATTGACTCAACACCATTTCTCATAAACAGCATGATTGTTTATTTCATTCATCCCATACTATTATTGCTTATTTTTTGTAGTACATACTGGCATCTTTCATCTTGTGGGTGTGGATATGGGTGGGGTGTGGGTGTGGGGTGTGGATTTACTGTTTATCCACACTCACACCCTTTTCTTCTATTGGAAAACAGTATACAACTTCTATTGGCTAATTTTCATCGTTTCGAAATAGTTGTGTAATACTAACATCTGCACCAAATGAATGAATCTTTGAAATGATTGTAACTATTTTTAATGCTACATATTTCTGATCCTGAGTTAATAGATCAGATTTGATGCGAAGCATTTTTTTTAAGCAGAAAGCAAACAGTATTACAACTACTAATCCTTGTTTGACAGAATAAATATGTGAGCGCTTTCAGCTTTTATACGAGTATGAAAAGATAAAAGTAATGTCAGTTTTTTTCTATTTCATATGAATCACTGCCGTAAACACAATAGAAAGAAATACGTGTTTTTTTATACTGCAGTAACCTATTTATCACGACTTATCAGTACGTGACATCTTGTGTCTCTCTATTATGAAAAATGGATTGATTCAAACTTGTGAAGAAAAAACCAACAGTGTATCAAAGTTAATGAAAATTCGAACATCAATGATTCACCAATTGGATCGACTTAAGTAGTTATATCATTATACAGAGACTTGAAATTCATAAAAATTATGAAGCTTTAATATACTTATTTTCGGATTCAATAATAGTAAGATGCAAGATTGATTTTATTGTACCTATGTCAGGAATATTGTAAAACATCAGTGATAATTTGCGATCTATCACTGTTTTTCGTAATTTCGGTATCGGGTATAGATGTTGGACGTGAATCTTCTTTTCATACGCACTAAACCTGATATATATATATAAGTCATGTAGACGACCACTAGGACGTTTCTATTGAAACACAGCACTTCTTTTTTGAGCAAAATGTAAGGACTAATGGAATATTTTTATTGAGAATGAAATTTTACCATGGGAATCATTTTTTCGCTGAAAAATAGTCGCTGTTAGATGGTTTCGATAACATGTCTGACGATGCATTTTTTATACAATTTTGAGATTGCTTCTCTCAGTCAAATTCCATTAACCAAAAGCGAAAATTTTCAGACATGGTAGTGCTAAGTGTACTGATTAAGATGCATTACTGAACAAGTTTTAATGATCAGATGATTGTGCTTTAGGAGTATGTAAATTCGGAAAAATTTCAAAAATAGGTCTTAAAGATGACTATGCGATTAGATTCTCGTACAAGTTGCCAATTTAGGAATTTCAGCGTTAGATAAGGGATAGTTCGGCAATCCTAAAACACTGACAAAAATTAAAAGTCTGTTCGGTTTCATAGAAATATTTAAGGCCCAAAAAACGTCAGAAACTACCATTTTTTATAGCGACTTCTCAAAAAATAGTACACGGAAAGAAAACTTTTGCTACAAAAAAAATGATTATTTCAATGAGTAGTATCTATGGTAAAGTTTTCACACTTTTCTCACTTAAAACAGCATGCCTAGCTAAGATCCAGTTTGACTTGGACAGTTCACCTTATCGCCTCCTCCGTTTTGATCCTTTCGTAAGGTTTTCAATTTTGGATGTGAGTAAAATAAATACTGATACCCGCACTCATTCTCACAATTTCTCTTCGAAAAAAAAAAACTCATCATCAAATACGAATCATTCGCCATGGTAATAAACAATTTTTTCGATGAGGCAGTACATCTCAATGGTGCTAAATTGAAAAATCTTATTATAGATGAACTATTTGTTCCACTAGAAAACTTTCATCAATATTTTCTTCTATTGTAAATATTACTTTTGCTTAAAAAAAATATCTGAATAAAAAGAGTCAGTTTATGACAGTCAATATACTTGAATGATATTGATCAACTAAAAAAAATCAAACAAGAAAGAAAACATTCTTTCATCTATACTATATTTCAGATTTTTCCTATTTCAAAAGAAAAACACTATAATGTATTTTCATTTCAATACATAAATGTCTTACGACTTTTTTGTTTGTGTCGCTTAGATAGACTAAATAGATTTTGCGTTGCGACTATATACATTTAATTTGATATGTCAATACAAAAATTTCATTCGACAATGATAACTTTGAAAAGTATTTGTGAAGTTTGTTCCTATAAATAAAAATTTTACTAATTGATTTTTCGTTTGTTTTAAAGTTATATATTGTATAGAGAGAGTTCTTATTCAACTATGATATGTGCATTGTGAATTCTAATGTATTCTTTTCTCAGTTATGAATTTTCAATAGTAATTAATTTAATTAGGCATTACTTAACTTGTGACATCTGCTACGATCACTAACAATAGTAGACATCGCGTGTATTGAGTAAGATCAGCGATTTTTTCGATATTTACAATATATGTAAAATGTCCACAAGTCAAAATTTTAACACTATTTATTTTTCTTTTGTCATAATGGTTAGATAGAGCTCGTCAAGTTGCATAAGAAAAAGTATGTTTCAAACTTAAACAAAGATTTGTAAAAAATGCATGAGAAAAGTACAAGATTCCATTATCTTCAAATATATGAAAAATAGACCATATAGTCTGACTTTTATGAAATCTTTTAACATTTTTTTTTTATTAAGTTTGACATAATTTTTTCTCTGCAACTCGAAGAGCTTTATTCAACCATCACAAAAAAAAAAGAAAAATAAATAGTGTTAAAATTTTGACTTCTGGGCATTCTGCATATACTGTAAATACTTAAAAAATCATTTATCTCGCTCAGTATAAACCATAGCCAGATCATATGTCAAATGTTCTTTATTAAAATTACAAAAATCCTTGATTGTAAGTTAAACTGTTGCTATTGTCATTATAATCACTTGATGAATTTGAATAAATTCAATAAACTTCAAAACAATAAGTTTCACTAGTTTCTTATTTTTGTATTTCTTCGAATACTCTTTCGAATAATGGAAATTGAATATTGTATATGCACTTGATATGTGTGCTGATATTGACTAAACATTGTTTAATCAGATTTCACATCTGTAAAGTTAATTATTAATCGAGTAGAAAAGTCTTTTGAATGTTTTGTATTTCTTTCATCTCAATATCTTATGACTTTTGACACCATTGTTTTTGTAGTTCAGCACATTGAATGTAGACAGTCATCATATTGTTTCTGGATTGTTTAACAATATTCTTCTATAGTTAATCAGTGACAAGCTACTACAGAGTTGTCCACGATAACAACTATCCTATCAGCTGCCGAATTTTGGTAACATATTTAACATTTTTTTCTCTTCTTCTCTTGAATGAATACGAAAGTGAAACAAATTTGTTTGAATTGATATTCTCTTGCTACAGTTTCTATTTCGCTCATTTCAATAGCTTTATTCGAACTGAGCAGCGAACTAGTAGTAAGTAAGTCGTGTCATTAAAGAAGAAAAATCGATCAGTCTCCACATTTTTTTTATTGTTATGTACAAGACATTGACTTCAAATTTATTATGAACAAATCATCAAAAACGTTCGGTGAGAATAACATCATGTATCGAACTGTGTCGGTGCGGTTGTTGTCTGGTGGTAATAGTAGAAATACATATTTTCTCGACGTCATCAGTTTTAGCATGAGAGTCGAAGTGGAAGGTAAAAAACTGCATGATAATTAAACTATGACAAAGACACGCAGCTGTGAGTTCGGAAACTACATTAATATACTTGAAAATATGTTTGTCGGAATGAAAATAGAGCCATTCACATGTCACAGATATGGTCACAACGACCACAAACAAATATAGAAACGATTTGATCCAGCCACTACGAAAATGTTCGTATGTCTCTGAAAAAAAGTCGAATAAAAGAAAAAAAGCGATATTGTCTTGAGATATTGTTGTGAATTTTTGATTAATATAAACAGGAATGAATATGGCAAGAATAACTTCTAATCGAGAGATAAAACGAAAAATATGTTTGTTTTCTACTTCAATATGATGATGACGGAGTTGCCGATAGACACGACAGTAAATAAGTGCTGCTGTAAAGACAATGTCGAGAACCATCCATCCGCAAAATATAACAATAAAGAATTTGTCTTTCTTGTAAGTAAATGAGAACATATAACCAATATGACTAGTTTCAACAAGTATCCATAACAGCAGGTGGTAGAAGACCTAGAAACAATGTGATTCAATCGGGGCACCATACTGTAGATATGAAAAGACTATCATAATTGTTGAGAGAAGGCCTTCATAGATTGAAAGTTCAGATTTGCACAGTGAATGATAATAGAAAAAAGCATCAAAGATATATGCAATCAACGAAAAAATTGGAAGCAAAACCATTGCCCATAAAAAGAAATTATCTTGCTTTTTGGTCGCGGGATACAATATAGATACTCTGCCCCTCATTTTTCAAATGTTTCTTATAGATATAAGCTTCTACTATTTTATACTATTCTTTATAAATAAAGGAGATTTTTCCGACATAAAAATAAATTTTGTACTTGATATCCTGTCGCTCGTCTCAATTTTGTCATGAAATAATGTCAATCTCGTGGCTTTTGGTATTTTCCTTTAACTACCTATTTCCTACACCTATTACTCATACAGATCATGTGCAACGAATGAGGCCAAAAACTGATTCTAAATCGATGCGTTTGTGGATTTTTAATATTTTCTTTTACATGGGAGGTGAATGAGGAAAGGACGTGTATATTTTTCACTTTTGTCAGAAGTATACTGAAATGATGCAAATGTTAAGCGAAAGGTCACATATTATTCATCCTACTGCGATGACTAATGGTGCAAAAACTTTGTTTGCAGCGC